ACACCAAACTTCCAGAAATCGGAAGTTTTGAGTCATTATCAGGAATAAACTAAATTTAATATTCAACTGTTTACTAATCAAATAACATAAAGATATACGCCTAACTGAAGAATAACAAAAGTGCCATGAATGTGACATCTACAGTAAAGAAGATTAAAAGCAACTGTTTACTCTTTCAGCCAATTACTGCACAGAAATAACTTAAACTTGGAGAGCAAACTTTAGAACTAATATTGACCACATATCCCTGAAATTTAATGTTGCAGTAGAAACTGGTAACTTTAATATAGTGAGTAAAGCAGAGGAGTAAATGCAATGAAGGATTCGGTCCATCTTTGGCAGTTTAAATCAGAACTTTAATTAATGAATAGAACTTACCTTCTCTTCTTAAATTATGAGTTTGTTTATAGCTTAGTTTAATTTACTAATTTACGGCAGTATGAATTACTACTATCATGAAAAGTATTATGAAAACTTTACATTGAATTAATTAGAAAGCTAATCAATATATTCTATTATTACTATTGAAAAGGTAATAAAAATATGTCTCTCTATCATCGTGAAATGGATGATTAAAATACGCAGTTGATATCTTGAAAATTTTATAAAAATTATTTACTATTACCATTTTAATATTGTTTTTACAATTTAATAACGTTGCCGCAAAGATGTGTTCTGTAGCTTTGTGGGAAATTCTGAAACAAACGTAAAGAATTTTGCATGATTTCCACAAACAACTTCACCGAAATCTTTTATTATTACCAACGGATGCTTATTAATTTGTTCCTTAAATATCTTTAAAATCCTTCATTAATAATATGAAAAAATATTAAAATGAATATTATCATCAAAAATAAATTATCACAATCCTTTACTGCTGCCATGAAAAAAGTTAGTTAACAAAATCCTTCAAGTGTTCACTAAAATCTTCTATTATTATAAATTATATTTCGAGTATTCGTACATTATACTCGTAGTCATGTTGTATTTTACAGACCAATTTTAAAACACGGATAGATTAATACCCAAAAACCAGGCATTAATTGTTTGCACTTAATAATGCTTGAACATAGTCGTGTCTTGTTGTAATAATTGGTTAACTTTAGGCAATATCAAGGAGCATCACGTATTTCTATAATCTAAACCTCACAAATGTAAATCCCACTGATTATATAGGGTATTCAAAAATAATGTCAAAAAATGTACTTTTTCAAAAATACTGGGTGATTTTCAATTATTTTAATTTCGAAATAAACAAAAGGCACTCTATTGAAATGAAAGTTTATTGGAACCTGATTGACCAATAATCATAAACTCTCATAATTTCAACTAGATTGATTGTAGGGAACGTAATGGAAGTAAGCTAGATATTTATTTAAGTGAAAGAAACAGCTTAGTATAGATTATGTTTACATAATACGGATAAATATTTCGAACTACACAACCTCAAGGTTAACAAAACCCGAGTGCAAAACATTAGCTTCAAAGACTGAGAGCAAAGATGTGCGAGTGTTTAAACAAAATGTACTCCAGTACGATTTTGATGAAAGTTTCAGTTACGCATTAAGTTCGTAAACATCTTTTACACAGATGTTGAAGAAAAACACTTATCTTAACTCGAAGCGGCAATTCTCAGCTCCTCATATTATGGGATTTGTTATCCAGATCCAGGATTCATATTTCTCCTCTCTCAGTTATTCATAAAATGTGCCATTCGAAAATAAACAGAACGTTTTAGTTTTACGTTTCCTTTAAGGAATGTATTTTAACTTTTATTTTATTAATATTTCTCCCTTTATAAAAAAACATTTAAAACTGAATTACTAATGTTGTCATCATGTTCAAACACGTATACGAAAGTTGATACGTATTTCATTTAAATCTTAAGAAAATGTTCAATTTAATCAATGTAAATGCGTCATTGTCATCAAAACAATATGTTAGACAAACATTTAATTCACAATTAAAATAAATCTAGCTTAAACACCTAAATTAAGTTTTCTTTGTTTGTTTGCTTGCTAATAATCACAAAGTAACGCAATTGGTTATTTATGTTGGACATCCACGGCTATGGAAGCGGGGTTTTTAATGTTATGAGGCTTCAGACTTATTGCTGAGCCGCTGGGAGCCTAATTCAAGTCACTTCCATTAAAAATGAATAAATTCTAGAATTTTGGACAGATCAAAAGCGCTAGGGTTTTTTCGTGTTTATTTTTTTTAAAGTGATATACCAACTCTTTAAAACCTTACGTGTTTTTTGTGTCGTGGATTTATTTACGAACTGTGGATCCGATGATTCATTGTTCTGTTACCAAAAAAATCGCATTCCACATTTTGGATCCATAAGTGTGTTATAAAAGCGATGGTCAAATTCCGCTATTTGGTAAGGCAATAATAATCGAAAAGATTCGACGCTGTTAAACAGCTAACTTTGTACCGATATTTGTTTTTCACTGAAGTTGCCATATGATGGCTCTAAAAATAGAAAACAATCCTCTACAATAAAATATAATGATTTATTCCAACTCATCATTTTTATATGATAAAAATATCAAAGTTAGCTTGTAGTTAATAATTATTTTTCTGGATATGTGGTTCCTAACATATTTTTCTAAATCATATGAGTTCTAAAAGTTTCGTAAATATTTCTTCCAAAAATGACCTTCTAGACTTACCACGTTATATGCAGCGAGTGTGAAGTTATTAATCACAGGTAGCAACTCGATTTGTTTATGAAAGTAAACTGTTTAGATATTTTGCGCAAGGACTATTTGCGTATAAACTATAAGCTAGGAAACTAGTCAGCAGCGCTCACACACATCAACCATTAATTCTACAGCCTGGTATTTTACCTAATAATAATATCATTACTGATCATTAATTCAATATGAGTGAAGCTAACAATTTTTTGATACACACCGTTGTATAAAGGATCTACATTATATGCTTCGGTTATTGAAATCATTCTAAGGAAATAATAATATTTATTTTCTTGGTTTTCTTCTGTATAAAAAACAAGATACAAGCTTTACAATACATTAATATTAATATGTCCTAATTCAAATACGTTCAGGTAGCCCATGAGTTAGTTGGTTGTTTTAAATTTTTTATAAAATAACTTATCTTTAGTTTGCTGAGAGATTACAACTACTCCATAATCCTCAAGATGAATAGTTTTCATAATTTCCTTTACGCTTTCTGAACTTATGGATAGTTGTAAGAAGTTCAATTACTTTTAATGATTAATCATTAAAGAATTATAAACAGTTCAAAGCGTATATTCAACTGGGCTGTTTTCTTAGAAACAGCTCTGTAATAAACTTTTACTGCCTTGATATTTATTGCAGTGATTATTTAGTTATTAGCTAAAAATATTATAGCCCTCCAAACCTGTGAAATGTAACGGGCCAGCAAAGATGATAAACCTCTATTTAAAAAACAGGCCTTAGATAGCATATGCTTTCATAGAAAACTTCATTCTAACACTGGAAGTTTAAAGGCGAGTTGATTACTGTGATTTGTGCAACCTTCTGACTTGGAAATCCATTTAAGCCTCTTAAAATATTGTGTTATCATAATCAGTCTTCTATGATGTTTCATCAGACACACAACCTTCATGGGCTGTGTACTTTTTGTATGAAAAAAAAGGTTAAAGACTCTTTATAAATGATGTTTCCACGTATTGTTTTACCATACTGTTACATATGACCTTATGAGGCCTTGTATTCATTGAAATATTGCTTTGAGGATGAATTAGAATTACAGAGAGCAGAAATTAAAACACTTTTTATATTAAAACTTTAACAAAACGTGAAAAAGAATCTTTTTGAACTACATATTTAAAACTATTAGCAGTCTAAATCTTTCATATACCGTAACTTAACAGATTCATAGAGTGACTCCAAAATTACAGGACTCTAGAACATATATATATATATATATATCAATCTTTATTCATATAACACAATGCGAGTACAAACATAAATGAAAATGACATGACACACTTTTCTGAGCAGTTCAAGTTTTATCAATCCAATACAAATAAAACAAAAGAAACACATTATTAATGTGATACGAAGAAATTAAAACACATAATTAACACAATGACTAAGAAAAAAAAGACTTAACATTTGTGTGGCAGAGGAGATGTTACTCTTGGCACACACTTAATATATTTATCGATACATATATACTTTTGTTATTTTATTTGTCAGCCACAGTGCAAGTAAGTTATATTTGTCATTTTTTTCACTCGAATTCGAAATAAAGGGAAAATGCATACTATTTGGTGACTTCTGTAAAATTTCATTTGTAATAGTTAATTTGTGTGTTATAATCATATCGTATGCTTACGTTTTCTGTGTAATTGAGGTAAAGATGTAGTAAGAATCCCAATACGGGTCAGTGTTTGGTCTATCTGTTATACATGTATTTGCAAAAAAAAAAGACAAAAACGTAGTAAACTGTCGTAGTAAAGTATATAATTCTAATTTCTCAAACATGCTGAAATTAACTGAAAATAATAAACGCACTTTATCACAGGGAACTGAATTATATGAATAAACAGGAAGAAATCTGCTAAGAGAAGATATAAGTTTTGGAAATATTTCATTTAATTTTCCTCAAGAAAACTTTTGAATTACTATATGATGAACTGAGAAGCTTATTACCTTTGAATGCTTTTAGGAATAACAAATCACAAAGTTCGTTTCCATGTTTTGTAGCCTAAGTCTAATCATTAATTGGTATAAAATCTATATATATGCATTTAAGTGTTTCTAAAATGCTAACAAAATCAACTTATTAAATAGAGTAGTGTCTGCACAAGCTGTTATTACCGATATATAACTACTGCAACACACTGGAGAGTATTTGACATATGTAAGTTAAAATCTCTATATACTGCTATATGAAAATTGATAAACCTATTTTTCTTTTTCAGTAAAATATAACTAAAGGAAGAAACAGTGTTGCGAGAAGAGAAGCAGCACTTGGTGTCCTTAACTAAAACTGCTATCGTCACTACTATACCCACTTTTCCTGTTACTGGGACTGAGCTGAGCGTTGATCGACTTCCCATCTGTACTACTACTACTGCTTCGTTGGATAATGATGATTGGGATTACTCTTCCTCTTCCATTTCTACTAAAGTCATTGTATTCGCCACTGTTTTTGTTCTCGAGAAATCCTTCATCCCTTCCACCCTTGTTTCCATGATTGTTACCTCGAAAACCACCATTGTTTCCATATCCACCATTACTGCTACTATGGCTCTGGTGTTCAAAGCCTCCTTTAATAATATCACTACTTTCATGCTTGTCTCCATATTCATTTCCGTTAGCTCTGAAGCTTTCTATTCCGTCTCCATTATTATCATACTGTCCTTTGTTACTTCCATGGCTTACACTTCTAAATTTATTTTGTTGACCACCCTGATTTTTATAACCACCACTATTATCTCCATGGCTTTCACTTGTAATTTCCTTGTTTCCACCACCTCTGCTTCCATAACGACCTCCACTTTGTCCAAGTGTTCTACTCCTAAATTCTCCGTTTCTCCCACTACTGTTTTCAATATCACCTCCACTACCTCTGTAATTTCCACCTCCATATCCATTAGTACTTCCATAAACACCTTTGCTATTTCCATGCCTTCCATCTTTGAACTCTTTTGACTCATAACCACCACTATTACCTCTGTGACTACCACTTATTGACCCTTCATTAATTCCATATCCATTACTACTAGGTCCATCGTTTCCAACTCCAAATCCGCCTTTGTTTTGATTGTAATTTCCATAACTATCTTCGCTTCCTCCGAAGTGTCCTCCATCAAATTTGTCTTTTCTGTTACCATTGACTGTAAAACCACTACGGTGGTTGCCACTTATAAACCTCCCTTTTCCACCAACACCACTATTTCCATATCCACCATTATTAAGTCCATGATTTATACCTCTAAGACCAGCTCGTTCCCCTTCACTGTTTCCATAACTACCACTACCAGATCCATGCCTTCCACCTCTAAAGGTGTCTTTTCTACTATCATCTGTTCCATAACTACCTTTAGTTCTTCCTTTGTTTCTATGCTCAAATCCCCTTTGTCCATTATCATTGGGCCTATAGTCACCTCCATTTTTTCCGTAACTATTACCTCCAGTTCCTATAGTGCTATCGTAACCACTATTACCGTGATCACCATTACTATAACCTTCTTTTGCATTACTTCCTTTATTATATCCACTTCCTCTGTGACTACCATTTCCAGATCGTTTTTTGCTTCCATATCCACCGCTAGTACTTCGGTGACTTACAGCACTAAACTCTTCTTGTCTGCTATCACCGTTTCTATAACCAATTCCAGTTCCTGCATGAATATGACCTCCAGATCCTCCAGTATTTCGATAACTATTACTACTCCTACCGAGGTTTCCATAACCAAATTCTTTTTTTCTATTATCATTATTTCCGTGACCACCACCACTTCGTCCGTAACTACTGACTATAGATTCCCCAATATTTCCATAACCACTACCACCCTGGTTACTATTTTCAAATACTCCTTTATCAGCATCACTATTATCATAGCTATTTCCACTTTCTCCGTGGCTTCCACTTTCAAATCCTTCAAAGCTTCCATATCCACCATTAGCATGTTTATGCCCTCCAACTGTAAGTCTTGATTTTCCACCGCTGCTTCTTCCATAAGCACCCTCACTACCTCCATGGATTCCATACCCAAATCTTGGATGTCCACTATCATTGTTTATATTTCCAGTTCCTCCTTGAATATGACCTCCAGACCCTCCAATATTTTGATTATCCTTACCACTTCTACCATGGTTTCCATATCCAAGTTCTTTTTTCTTATTATCGTTGCTGCCACGATCACCACCGTGACTATTAATAATAAATTCCCCAGTACTTCTATAACCATTACCACCCTGGTTACTATTTGCAAATCCTCCTTTCCCACCATAATTATTTTCATAACCACTTCCACTTCCTCTGTGGCTTTTACTTTCAGATCCTCCTACTCCAAAGGTTCCATATCTCCCATTAATATTTTTATGCCCTCCAACTACAAATATTGATTTCCCATCACTGCTTCTTCTATAACCACCACTTTCTTTATCTTCGTGCCTATCATTTTGAAATCCTCCTTTTCCGCCTTCATTGTTGTTGCTTCCATAATCGCCTATATTAGCTCCATGTTCACCATCTCTAAATCCCACATTACTACTTCCATGGTCTCCACCTAGTGAACTTTCTTCATTAGTACCAGTGTTTGTATAACCACCTCCTGTCACCCCGCTGTGTACATTTCCGGTTCCGTTGCTGGTATCTATGTATTTCCCACCAACGTATCCTCTTTTTAATCCGCCATCATTTCCGTGATTTTTACTGCCAATTCCTCCGTAACCAGCTTCTTTGTCATTTCCTAAATTTATATTTAGAGGTCGTAGGTAGATGACGCTATACTTTATTGTTTGTCCATTTTGGCCCTGAGAATTATAATCTCCCTGGTAGCTGGGGTGCACCAATAAGGCCACGAGAAGTAAAAGAAGACGTAGCACCTATAAAGTTATGAAAAAGGATTCAGATTAATCTAGTACTCGTAATATCGAGATGTACTTTTAGCTGTGATATTTGCTTAGCGAATAGTGGAACTATTTATAATTCACAATTTAAATTTTTATAATGTTCTCCAAATTCTCCCATTTGTTTTACCCTAAAGTCATTGAAGATCGTAAAATAAATAGAAATATTTCTTGAATATATAAGCATATAATACAAATACAATGCTTGACTGTTTTATAACAAAAGAAGAAAATGGTCATTACTTACGTCAAAACTGTTCTATGAACTAGTTGTTTCAATACATAAAAATGATATAATATTTATTATGAAATGTCTAGAGATACCATTAAGTAACTCACTGCTATTAAACCATCTTTTCAAGAAAAGTTTTCTTCTTTATTCACACAAGAAGCTACTGAAAATCTTTCTAAAATTCAATTAATTGAATGAAACGGTTTAAGGAAAAAACGAATAAAATTTCTTCAAATATAGCTTCCTTTATAACATTTATTTCAGCGAGGTTTAGCTCAGTAATTCCAATGTATAGTATTTCTTAACATTCAGTAGTCATCCAGTGGCTCAGTGGTAAGACTGGCCAGGTGGTTAGGGCGCTTGACTCGTAATCAAAAGACATCAAACATGCTCGCCCTTTCAGCTGTGGGAGCGTTATAATGTGACGGTCAATCCCACTATTCGTTGGTAAAAGAGTAGCCCAAGAGTTGGCGGTGGGTGGTGATGACTAGCTGCCTTCCCTCTACTCTTGCACTGCTAAATTAGCAGTGTAGCTTTGCGCGAAATTCATAACAAACCAAACCCATGGTGGGCAGAGCACAGATAGCCCATTGTGTAACTTTGTGCTTAACCAATACCAAACTAAACATTCAGTATTGCTTATCTCATGATCAACTTATTAATCGTACCCTAAAAAAAGGATACATATATATTTAACATGAATTGCAATTTTAATTTCTTTACCCCAAAATTTGCTCATGAATTTTATAGGAAAATTAAAACTCTCCTTTAAAAGCATAAGGTACATTCTGTAGAACCTTATGCACTCTTTTTAACAGTTCTGATATTTAACAGTGCTTTAGTGTGTGACTTTCTATAACAAGTTATGATATAATTAGGCTTTGACGTTATTTATAAGCTTTTTGCAGATCGTGACCTATTTTTCAAAATTGCATTTGATGTAATCCAGTTTCAGATATGGGGTTTATTCGGATACAGAGATGACTAACTAACATAAAGTAGTATTTAGAGAGAACCGTAGAGTTTCATAAAACTCTTATTTTCCACGACTAAGTATTTTTCTTTACCGTCTTGATTGTAAAACATTTTTCAAAAATAATATTTTACTAGAGGAACGATTTTGGAATACTTTGTTCAGTCTGTACTCGAGCTTTATATTAGTCAGGCATGCATACCAATGGGCCCTCTAACAAAATGTCATTTAATATAACTAAATTTTATTTTTTGTTAGCATTAACTCATTGGGTTTTGTGAAGCGTTCTAATTGAAGGTTCTGATAAAATCCTTGCTTTGCTAGTTGGATCATGTCAGACAGGAAACATCTTTATAGATGTAGAAAGTCGTGAATGAGTGAGTACCCTAGAATTTATAGAATAAAATAATTGCGTTTAAAACGTATGCAATTTGTACTAAACCTGGAATATTGTTTTAAAATTCTTACTTAATCTTTTCTTAATCTTCTAGAATGTACAGCACAGATCATTTTACCCGTTCCTCACTCAATATTATAGACAACGGAGACAAACATGATAACTTTATATCATATTACCTGTTCCTCACTCAAATAAAGTTATTATGTTTGTCTCCGTTGTTTATATTACGATTAATATAAACAAAACAGTAATAATCTATATAAGAAACAACAGATAGTATAATTGAAAAATTGAAGAAAGATAAAATTTCTAAGCAATAAGTAAGTACAGATGATCAAGATAAACCCAAAATGAAAAGCTCACCGTTTTCATAGTGCCGATTGCTGTCAAGAGAAAACTGTTCTTAAGCAGTATTGACTTTCCTAACCGAAACGGGAATGAAAAGTATGTACTTAACAAATACGAAACGGAAAAGAAGTGAACATCTTTCTACGAAGAAATAAAAACGCTAAATACGACAAAATGAATCACCTGTTTTATATATATACTGTATATTAGTGGATCACGTGCGTCATTTTTTTAAAGTTTGAATAGTGGTGCGCATGATACTGTGGGTGGATTATTAAAACAGAGATAGGGAGTGAGAAAAAGGACATTTTAACGAACTGTGAGCTAAGGACCTATCAGAACGTTTTCTCATCTACTTAAAGGTTAAATTTAATAGTATATCCAAAGTAGGTCAGCTACGAAGATAAGACCTCAGCTGTGGATCTTTACTTCGATAAAAACAACAACAATGCTTTCCTTGATATTATATGCTTTTCCTGTTTCTATTTTCTTAAACGTATTGTGCAGGTCAGAGTTCGCCACGATTGCGTTCTATAGTAACACAGCTTAATCCTGGTTATGTCAAAGTAGATGTAATTCATTCATCTTGTTCCGCTTTGCTGGGTGTTCCATTTCGTAAAAAAAAAGAACATCTAAGAAATCAACATACTAAGGCAATATTTTCTTAAACTCATTGACCTTGTAATTATTCTGTAAAACTATCAAGCCTCCATTATTATTTTCTCAATTCACTGAAGTTTATGATCAAATGATATTATCAGATGATCACATTCTATGCATTCTAATTAGAAAATGGTCACTTACAGCCAACCTTTGTTTATATATATATACTTTATCTGCGTCCTGGTTCACTATAATGAAAATGGCATGTCCATAGCCCGTACATATGTCAGCTATTATTTGTTCTTTGCAAATTTACCTAATGGCGGCATACAGTGCTCTATATCTTTTGAATATCAACGCGCTACAGGTGTTTTTAAAAGATACTTTTAAGTACCCATGAACTAGAACATTTTTTTGGGATAACTCTTATCAATCACGATAATTAAAGCTATGAATAAAGTGTTATACTCTCGGAAGATAAAAAATTTTGACATGAATTATGTCAACAAGTAAAATATCAATAGCTTATTTGTAAAGGATTAGGCGTTAATGTTATCTTTACACTTCCATTAATACAGTCTTGGACCGGTGGCTCAGCGATAAGTCTGATGGCTTATAATTCTGGTTTCGATACCCTTAGTAGACAGAGCACAGATACTCTATTGTGTAGTTTTATGCTTAACAACAAACGCACGGCTGAAAGGACGAGCATGTTTGCTATAACGGGGATTGAACTCGCCACTCGCAGAATGCGAGTCGACTGCCCTAACCACCTGGCCATGCCGTGCTTGTAACTTTGAAAGTAAAGCAAATAATCTCTTCATTGAAGAACGTAGAGTTTTTTATTAATCCTACAAAGAACCCAAATTTAATCATAATTGAACCAGATATAGGAGATAAAAGAAGGGTACTATTATTTCAAACAGAAGTAATTACATTACTAAACTAACTAGCGTAATAAATGATAGGAAAAAATGTTAAATTATATAAAGATACAACTATTATAATAGAAATTAAATTACAAAGTTGAAGAAAAATCATATTGTATCTGAAAGTGCTTTTACGCAAGTTCGACTAGTTGGGTTTAATGCAGGGATCTTGTATGGTATGCCTAAAGTCCTATAAGTGTAACTGTTTCAAACATTAACTCTTGCAACCATAGTTTATTAGATTTTATAGTTAAATATCTTCAAGAATACACGAGTTATAGTACACTGTTAAATACAGTTTGAGTTGTTTTCAACCAATAAAAGAATATGGATTTCCATCATTATATTTACGCAACTAATTTTGATGTAGAAACATTGTACACTATTATTCATTTCAGTTGTTTATTTAATGTCTTTTACTATTAATAGTCTCATTTTTTGTTTGGTAAAGACACTTATGATCGGACAGATGGGGTCAGTATAGGATCTAAATAATCAGTGTACATTACTTAAAGCTGATAAGCTTTTAATGTGTACCTCTATGGCTGCTTTATTTCTAAGTTACTATAAGGGACTGTCTTATTGCTTTTAAAATGCTTTATTACATACGCTACGTAGATTATACATTCGTTACTCTCCAGTTACGAGAGCATGTAGATGAATAATAAACACAAAAATATTAAAGTCATTGTAGAGCAAAAATATTATTCAAAACTGAAACTCTTATAATATTTTGTACATAGTAAAAAAGTGTATCTTAAGTAGGTGTTTATTATATACCAGCGTTTTTGGATTATATGTACACTAGCAGAGACCTGTAAAACATTTGTGGCCAAATAGTATCTTTATTGCAAAAGTACTTCTTCAAACACAGGATTTTGGGGATGATAAAAATTAATTCTAACTGTAGACACCGAAATCTACAAGTCCACTTGGCTTAGGCGTAACATTAGTTTAGCCTATATTAAGTACGGCCTATATTCGATAAAAAGATAAGTTAACACTGTAAGTTTTGTACATTTTTTGCTTTAGTTAGAGCTAAACTTCATCATATTTAGTGCTACCAATAAATACACTTAAAATGTCGTTCTATGACCTAAAGTCAGACCTTTTTTTAAACTTTGATAAGTTTTTAAAATGTTGTTGTACAAGATGTCTACTAAATTATATTTACATCCGCCTTTTGTTTAAATCCACTGAAATGAAGTGCACGCGCATGCGCATTTAGATAGTAAGGTGCGCTTGAATTTTCTAGACAGACAAAAACTGAGATTATTATAACAGATTTTGTATAGCTCACTATACAAACTGAATGTAATGCTCCGATTTTGATTGGTAACTGTCTTATTACTACTAATTTGATTTCAGACTCAAATCATCAACTTCGACGTACCTTGATTACCTCAAATTAGAAGCTTGTATTTTTTTTCTCATTTTAGGCTTTCTGGAGTTGACCTACTAAAACGGTCATTCGTGGCCTGCAATTATTTACTCGTAAGCAAGGTTTTGGAAAAAAATATTACGTGACGATAACTGATGTCTCTCACATGATTTCTTGTGTTTTATACACACACATTCTTGTGCAAGGCATAATATTTAATAACTGAAAAAATAATTACCTGTTAAAAATATTTGAATATTTGTTATACTTTTTCTATAGTCTTGTGAAAGATCGACGTTTCAAAGGTAACACGGGCCTGCAAATTTAAACTTCATAAAAGTTGTTTTGGTTTTAATAACTGATTTTCCATAATTCAGCTACGCAGATTTCGAAAATATTATTCATTTTTTTCTATAACGTAAGGATTTTTTATAAATTGGGAAGTAAAAAAACTAATTTAGATCAAATTATTATTTCGGTTACCACAATGTAGATGTGTTATTATTATGTCTGTTAACAAAAATACAAACAAACTGAAGAAAAGGGAAGAACACTAATGTTAAACGATCATGCATCCTCATTCATCCTGTATTTTTTTGTAAAAATCTATGTCTTTTAGTCTCAAAACTACGTGTTATGGTATTTCTTTTATGGCCCCCATTGGCATAGCGGTATGTCTGCGGACTTATATAGCTAGAAACCGGACTTCGATACCCGTGGTGGACAAAGCACACATAGCCCTTTGTGTAGCTTTGTGCTTAATAACAAACAATAACAACTTTCTTTTGTGTATTGCGTTATGATGTTTTGTGAAAATTCTGTACGTGGTGGAGAAAAATGGATATCATTTTCGGATTCAGCAACAGGAATTACTGTAGAACATGTAAAAACGTCAAGATAATAAAACCACCGCAGGCTTGTGTAATAACCGGAAATAGAATCGAATGTACTATTATGTAACAAAACATTGCTATAAAACTAACTTGCTTGAAAAACTTCTCACGCTCTCAATGTTGCTAGTTTTGTGAAAATTCGGAACCAGAATCGTTCTATATTTTGAGAAAAAATTACCAAACACTAACTTTCACAGGTAATTTTAGTCAATGGAATGAAACAAAGTAAAACTAATATATTATTGTTTTAGGATCCTATTAAGCTAAACGATTTAAAATGTTAGTTTTAATATATATTGAGAACTAAAAACCAATAAATTAAGAGGAAGATTAGAAATGATACATGATTTCAAATAAATCGTTCGTCATAGAGATAGAGTTATAATTCACATATTTAATCTTTATAACCACCATTTTATTTCAAGATAATAATTCAAGGGTCGCTTTTTTATTTTTTTAAAGTTAATGCTGTTTTTGTGAACGTTCAATTTAATATATATGAAAAGACCGATTTTCTACAACTTAGTGAATTCTTTGGTGATGTTAATTGACAGTTTTGCAGTTTTACTGAGTAGTTTATTATTTATGAATGTATTTTGATAATAAATTGTTCATCTTTTGCTTAGTTATAAAATTAAACAACGTAAGTCTTATAAAGCTTTACATCAACGTGTTTTTCTGTGATTGGCCTACTTTCAGTTTGTGTGTTAGTGAAACTTAATATTATATTGGCTTCACACTTTTATCATTTACCACATATTATTTTATACCTTTAACTAGTGTCTTTCGTACTTTCACATCGCAAGTTCTTTTAGTTTTTAACCGAATGAAATGAGGCTTGACGAACAAAGTTAAAAAACTCGTGTCTTTCATTTTACAGCTACATAATGTTTGTTTCTATTAACCCTGAGGACGTTGTAAAAGCAAAACGTTGGTAGTAACAAAAAACAAATATATTTACATCTGGAGTATAAAGGTCGTTTATCTTAACTGTTATCACAATGTGTAAATCCCTTAAGTATGCACTACAAACTTTGAAAGAATGTAGGATAAAGATAAAACTTCTATTTCACGAAAACAATAAATCAGTTGACGTCTATCTTCCGATGCAATTGGCGTACTTTGAGTCATCTCAGATTTATAATAAATTCTTTTTGACCCAAAATTATCTCTTTCTGTAATAAGTTTAATTCTCTGTCAAGAAAACACAACACTCAA